AAGTAACCAAATATACTGAAAACTGTTCCGATTTAAATAGAAAAGTTAGCTCGTTCATTTATAACAGAAGATGTGTCCATATTTTTTAAGGAAATCAATCAACTGGCGAAAATTTCTCACTCTGATCTTGACTTAATCTTCAAAAAATGATGTACGTAATCATCCGACGCCAAAATATATAGCTAAAGCTGTTTTACTCTTAGTGTACAAAAATAGTACGCTTACAATTGCACCTAACCGGCATTTCCGCATGTGAGCTCCTGTGATCTCCCAATGGGCCATATCATGCGAAAACGTGGTTGCCTTAGTCCAGCTAAACTCAAGCGATGCATAAACGAAAGAAACAACTAGCAGATTTCATGAAAACGTGTTAGAATACATACTCGAACTTTGGGCTGTTTGGTAACAGCCATAAATTAGATTGCACATCATATGGAAGCACATGCATCCTAAAACTTTACAAAGAAATTATTTTCCAACGTAATTTGACTTGTTCTGCTTTATTCACTTGGTGGTTTTGTATGAACGGACTTCCTCTACATGTAAAACTTAAGTTGACTTAGTGAGCCCGATTTCCACTTTTTTGGAATCTTCTACTTCACTAAAAAGCTGGTATTTCTATAGAACTTTATATTCCTACATAAATCACAATATGCCTTATTATAAAGAAGGGCCATTACTTTATTGCTGTAAGACTTTGGGGGCCGCAGCTTGGACTGCGTTTGAGTAACAGGGAGTTACTTGTAAAAATCCTTGGATTTCATGAGTTAGGTAACCTACTGTATGTGCTGTCAGTCACATTGCTATTTGAATATTTATCCAAATACTCCATTTGGCTAGGTTATTATGATAAGGCCAAAGAAAGTGTAAGTATAACTACTTGTGTTACAGACGTTAGTTAATTGCCCCATACAGTCCGAAAAGCGTACTTTGACAAAGCGTATGTGACTTTTTGATTTTTTTTGAAAAACGGACTTCCCTACATTTGAAACAACAAGTTCAGTTGCTAGTATTTGACATTTTGTGTCAGTAAGCAACTAAAAGTCACATTATCTAACTTCAAAAGTTGTATTTGTTCCACATGATGACTCTTTATTACGTCAAATTCACTATGTATCCAGTTGCATTTTAAAATTTTAAGCTTCTTAAGGCAACTCTTCTGCTGTCTGTATCACAGCATGAGTCTGGTCGGAAATGGAACGGGGAACTTGAAGTCTTGTTGTTTTAGTGGCCTTCTGCCGAGCCTTTAACTCGTAACAACAATTAGTTCATGCTCCCATGTAAAATTCTATGTTTCCAATCTTGTCTGTTTCCTCCCCGTAGATGGAATTAATTCTTTGGCAGTTGCGAGGCATGCTAGACAGCTGGAAAAATGTGCTGGTCACTAACTCCCGCTCTCTAACCTCCGACTATCTATTCCAGTTGTCCGAAAAGATCAGCGACGTATAGTGAGTTTTCCGAAATTCAACTATTTCGTCTTTGTCTTTGATTGAACTCTAAACGCAGACTGCGAGACAGCTTAGGCCATACTTGCTCTGATGGCCAACTAACTCTGAGAAGTAGGCAGTTTGCTTTAAATCTTTGCTCATACCATCTGGAGTTCAATCTCCTGACCCCACAGTTCCTAATCACAAAGGAGCAGCTTTGTTCGACTTCTTCTTAGTTGATCATGAGACTCCATATCCGTTACGTTTGCGGACAATGGTATGGTAATACTTCTGTTTTTTAGTCTATTGCAGCTCAGCGGTGACATGAGTGAGGTGACTACGGCCCTCGGTTTGAAAGAAGCTCTTGGAAAGTGGAGACATGCGGGACGCGAATACCATATGCCCCAACCCAGCTGTTCAGCCCTCATTAAAGTCCTGCCAGGGCAGAAGGACGTCTACATCTCCCAAGTTACCTGGCAGGGCTACTCCTCAATGCTGAAGGTTGCCAAGTTCTACAGTTTCTCCTGGCATCTCACACGGGATCCCGGTTAGTCACTTTTTCCCAGCTGATAGCGGGTTGCTTTATCTTTTTTAAAAATAATATACTATATAATAAATACTATACAGATGCTTAATCACAAATTTTGCACAAAAAACATACTCCGAATCCTCTAGAGTTATAATGCATTAAAGCAAGGCCAGATTTTCAAAAGATTGCATATTTTTAAGCTCAGTCTAGAGCTCCTAGAGTGGGAACAACGACGCTACCATTTCGTCATGGACCGTGCCACTCTACCATTAAGCCACGAATCGGCTTTTTTGTTGTTTGCGATCAAGAGTGATGACAGTGTGAAGCTGACTGATTTGCTTAAAGAACATATATTTCCCGTTGTGCTTTGGAGAAAATAGGTCTAAAATGTCTGCTCGGACTCACGTTTATTTCGAACGAGCAGGACCAATTCCAGTGGGCGTTTTGATGAGCTTACATATTTTCGGACAGGGCACACACTGGGTACACTGTGAATAGGGTTCGTGCGGGTTGAAAAATAGGCATTCTTGCGTTTGAACACAAACGGGATGTTTTTTGAGTCGCGCAAGATGTCGGCACCCTGACAGTGCTGTGCTAGAATTGAGACTGAGCCTATTGACATTACGAGACTTCTGACAGCATCGCACTTTTCACTGAAACACAAAGAGCCTTGAATGCCGACGGCGCTCGCTCTCTCTCCCCCTCCACAACACGGTAAGTGCACGCGTCTCCTTTTAGGATGTTTTTTCTCTAGCTGAACGAAAAAGGCGGAACGCAGATGCTCTGCTAATTTGAAAGGAGAGCTTATCTATTTTTATTGTGCCCACTGCATTTTTGTTTATACAGGGAAGACGCAGGGGGTCGGGCGCACGTAAAATGTGGAATGGACGTGTCCTTGAGTATTTTTGTAGCATGTTCCAACGCGGTAATGCGCTTTCTGAATTGCATACAAGGCGCGTGACTGTATTTTTGTTACAGAAGGATTAAAATGTGCCTGATATACATATCGCAGTACTGCCGACCAGGAGGCTTGCTGTTTTTCTCGGTTGCGATCTGGTTGCAGAACATACTCGTTTCGTTTTGCCTTTGAGCTTAGTCTAGAGTCCTCGTCGGCAGTCGCGTAGCGATCTTTAGAATGGGATGATATGGCGGAGTCGACCAAGATAGGGGAGACGAAAGGGCCATTTCTGGCTTATTAGTCATCATCAGCCAGTAATGTACAATCCCAGGTGTGAATCATCCAAGATTTGATTTCATGATTCCCTGTCTCATGAAATATGGACCGAAATTCGGAAATGCGTTTTAGATTTGACCAACATACTTAAGTAGGATTCCAATGTTGGTTATCATGCAAAATATTTCCGTTGCAGCATGATGCCGGCATTCAAACATGCTTCTCTATATCCGCCTGGAAGAAATATACGCTGCACGAAATGGCGGCTTAAGTAGTATACACTTCTTTAATTAATTTTAGAGGACCTTATAAATTGAGCTAAATTTTATAGTAACATTCAACAAAATATTCTTCCTTATGCTTATGTTCTAGCAAATTACGCCTTCTTCAAAGGATATATTTCGGGTCTGAAAGACTTTCTAAATTGCCGAATAATTTCGAACTCCACCGGCCGTAACACTTGCCACTTCAAGGTTTCCAAGCGGGGTATGCTTTATGCATTCTGTCTGTCTAAAGGTCACATTGGGTCCTCATAAAAATGTGTGGACCATCTTGTATGCT